GAGTACGTCACTAAACTTAAAACGGAGTGAATTTGAGAATAGAATTCATTTTAAAGTTTATTCCTTTATGAGCACAACAAGTACACCAATCTAGCTAAACTAATATACCTACTCGTAGCATGAGACGAGATTGCTCTGTTTTTATTTCTAGTTATAGTTAAAAAAATTGTTACTGGTTTCTTATTTTATTATTTTACCAAGAGCCAATGTTTCAAGTGTCACATAATTTTAGTTGCATCTCTTGCAACAGCAGAAAGAGGTTGAAAAATCGATAAGTAGGTATATTAATACTATTTGAATAGTATTCGAATATATTTTGTTTTTTAAATAAAACAAATGATATCGGTGGTCAAGTTACCCGGTGTCCGGGATCGTTACACAGATAATGTGTGCTTACTCGGGTGCGCAAACATGGCGCTCAAACACCGAGGCAAATTACACAAAACGCTTTCTAACGATTCTGGAACACCTTTTGGGCATTTAGGACATCACTGATAAATAACATTTTCTACTATTACCACATTTGTTAGTATATGGATATAATAGGGATGTTTCCTGGGTAAAAAAGCAAGAGTTTTAATAGTCCGTCAGTTAGCTTATCAAAAACTACTCGACACGTATTTTTCACTTTTTAAAACTAATGAAAATATGATATGATATAAAGCGTGCCAAAGTTCTGAAGAAAAGAACCGTGACGTCAGTAAGTGCGTAAAAGTGCAGCACTTTGTGACGTCGCGTGGAACTTCAACGCACTATAACTTTGTAATTATTTGTTTGATTGACAATTAAAAATATACGTGTCCAATATTTTTTTATACTAAAATTGACGGACTAAAAATTTTTTTTAGGAAACTAGCCTATAGAGAGTTATGGATGGCTCTTATCTATACTAATACCTATTATAAAGAGGTATGGTTTGTGTGTTTGTATATTTGTCAAATTGTAAGGGGTAATCTCGGGATCTACTGAACCGATTTTAAAAATTCTTTCACCAATAGAAAGCCACATTATTGCTGAGTGTCATAAGTTATATAAAAAACTAAAAATTAGAAAGCTAGTAACTAATAAGTTTAACTGATTTAGGCTGAGATGCACCATTTTACTTTAACTTTGACAAACGTCAAAAATCTGTCAAACTCTATACCAAAAGCACCGGTTATCGTAATTGTTACGGTTAAAATAAGGTGGTGCAAGTCAGCCTAAGTGCTATTGCTAGAGCAATAACTAGAACTAACGGTTTAAGATGCCCTTCATGATGATATTTCTAATTAATAATGAGGATATTTGCAATTAGGAGTAGCGTGTAATTCATTCAATATCCTCTCTCTTATGGGCTTGTACGAGTTTATATTTATACTTACTTTAAAACAGTTTTCAAGTCACCACTAAATCTTCAAAATATTTGTAGAAGCATTGACTTATTTACGCACGTGTGTCTTATTTGTAAAATAATTAGACTAAATTATTAAAAGTGCCTACCCAAAGTCATTATTCCACGCGGACGAAGTCGCGGGCACAGCTAGTATACACATAAACCTTTAAGTGATCGATTTGTTAATATTTATTTATTTATTTAAGGATAGTACACAGCACAATATCAATCTGTATCTAATAACAATGTTTTTAGTAGATTTTGTAGGCCAAATATGACTATCCAACATTAAACAATTATGTTATTAATTGGGATCAATGAGCTTTAGTGTACTGTCAATAGCTCCATAAATTAATCCTGTTGAGATTCCCAATTATTAACCACAATCAAAATTGGCTGTGGTTAAGTAAATTATCTACTGCTAGGTATAATCTTATTTGATACATATAACTGTCATTATAATATTTTCAAAGAGACAAATCAAATGATCCATGATGATAGTTTCCAAAATTCATTCGCTAACGAGTGGATTTGGAAATTAGAATATGCTCAAACATAGCCAAAGCTAAATGGTTATTTCAATCATTTAGGTCTGATGCGTTCCATATTTACCGTTCCAGATATTAGCGCCGTTCGCTAAATCTATTTGGAAATCTAGCATTGAACATACACTATGAAATGCAGTTATTGTAGATTGTATCGACAAAGTACGGTTGGTCTACCAAACTATCTAATTTATAGAGAGCAGAATATAGGTATGTACTACTGCTAGAGGTCTAGCAGTTGTTCAGCTTTAAATGATGTATTACGTAAGTAGTTATTTATTTCTGTACCCACCACTGATAGCGGATTATGTTTTTTAAGTTCGTTTTCCTTACTTTCCTATAAAATAAATGAATGCCATATTAACGATACCGCCTTTACCGTATCTTTCTATTATTGTAAGTCTAAAAGAGCTTATAGCTCACTTCAATGAGATTATTCGTCCACAACATAATACCCTTTGCCTTTGCAATGCACTGGGCATTACATTCCTGTTATGAAGATTAGCGAATTTAATCTCAATGTTATAAAAGAACTAAAGACCTATATTTAAACCGTTTGAATTTCGATCAGCCACCTTTATTTAACTTTGCGACTTCGTGTGCTTTTTAGAATTTTAATGCTATAAAAATACGAATTATCAAGTTATGTCAGAACTCAGAAGAATCAAGAATGATCAAATTTAGGATTAAAAATAGTAACATCGGTTACGTTAAACACGTGACTTTACTCATCAGATAAAAGCACTTATAGCCATTATAAATGTAACTGTTAACAGTTTACCGATAAGTAAACATGTTGTCACTAATTGGGACCTCACGCTGTTACGCAATGCACTTATGAGCTCCCAGATGTTATGTAGGTTCCAAGACAAATTAATGAACGCCCACAACGGCTTCTAGGATCCGACACTAGAGCCTTAATTGTTACAACCAAAATAGTAGAAATACATTAACTTTGTTTAGTTTCGGTGATCATATTTTAGTCAATCAGTTCAATTCTTTATTGCCATACGTTTCCACGTCGTTTCACGGTTTCCAGACTCGTTTTTAACGTGTATTCCGAAATACGGTTTCTATCGATAAATCGAATAATTTTATTTGTCAATAGACTGATCTGTAAAGAGCTTTAGCATTGGTCCAGAACAAATAAAGGTGCTCAAAACTCGTTTTAAACTTTTAGGATTTAGGATTTTTTGTTTTTTGATATTTGAACCTCTGACTTAAATATATTCTTGATTGTAGAGTCTTACTTGATAGCCGTTTTATGCTGTTCCTAGGAACCCATTTGTCGCTGTTTTGTTACCTTTAAAATGCACCTGGCTGCTTAGTGAAGCTTAAAGTTTTTCCTCGCGTGTTCCTAACTCAATGATATACAGCAGGCGCCACGTGAGCGAGCTGTGCTAACACAATTAGCGTTAATGGAGCAACTTGTTTGTTTGTTTGTTCTTACAGCACCAAAACGTTACGTTAAAACTTTAATCGCACCTCCGTATAATCCCATGAACTTTATAGCTACAGATTTAGAGGCGATAATTGAACGCGACGTACGTGGAATGGGTAATGATTTGTTAGACTACGTAATAGAGACGCGATGCGAATAAACGGCAATTTTGGAGAGTAAATATGAATTAGGGAGATTGGTTTAGCAATATACGCCAGCAATATTACTCTTATTATACGCTTTATATACGAATTTTTATTTTTCTAAGGTTTAGGATAGAAATTTGGTTGTTGCGTAAAACTTTTGGATATTCAAAAAGCTTTCCTCATGTACGAGTATAACTACGACCAATATGAACTAGAAATTTTATGTATGTATGTAGCGAACATCGTTGTAATGAGGCTGCCTTTTAAATAATTTATGCCACATCCTCTCTTACCCTAAAGCACCACTCATGTTCTCTCTACATTCTAATTATCAATTCAGTCACAGGACCTCCACTGCTGAACATAGGCCTCTAAAATTTTCTTGAAAGTCCATCCTTACATCATTAAATTTAAACGTAAGGTTCACAATTTGAAACCAATATCAAAATAGAACCTCATTGTCACCTCATACGCAGTGTAATGTTTTAAAACCGCCCGTGCCATTGTTAGGCGACGCTGTTTGCGCGCAAACAGTCTGCTTGCCGCCGGGTGACAGCCGTAAACATGGCTACTCGTTATGCTGTAGCTGTTACGTCACCACATTAAACATAATAATATTGTTAATGCGAAGGTCTGTTTGTTACATTTTTTTGGCAAAAAGTACTGCTGAATCAATTTAATTGATTTTGGTCTAGAATTCGAGAAATAGTTTGTAAATTGAGAAAAAAATGATTGTAAAACTTGAAAAGGGTGAAAAGGGGTTAAAGTTTTTGGGGACTCATTAAACCTACATTATGGTAATGCTTAAAAACATAAAAACCAAAAATCAAAACCATGCGGATGAAGCCTCAGGCAAAAGCATAGCTGTTTAGACGCCCAAACTGTCTTAATATGTCTTCTTATCGTGACCTTTTGGCTATTCGTATAAGACAAACACAGTTTCTTGTGTCATATTATTCATCTACAAACATTTGTTGTGTCACTAATTGGTACGTCACGTTGTTTCGTAATAAACTTGAGCGTTCCCTTAGGAGTGGCGGGTCATTGTTAAACATGGCTTTGTACACACCTCTACCACCACAGTTAGTTACGCAGTTCATAATAGTGATTGAGATAAATTCAATAACATTTTTGAGAACAACAATCCAATAAGTTAATTTCTTAACTTAAAAGTCACGCCAAACCCGCTGACCCGCCGACATGAGTAGTCGACTTTTGACATGTCGTCAAAAGTCATAGAAAGTACAAGTTCTCGACATGTTTCTTTGGAAATAAAGCCTTGCTGTATAGAGCCCTTATGAATCCATAATGTTTGTACAGTTAACAGCACAAAGGCCCGCATTCACAAACATTACTATGAGGTCTCACAGTGCGTGTGAACGCACAGGGTGACACATGAACCAATCACAGAGCTCTATTATGGCTATACAACGCTGTGCGTTCGATTTGCTGCTTCACTTAAGTAAGCATTGTTTGCTTGTCTGCTTCAAACCACTATGGAAGTTACAACCACCAGAGGATGCCCGCAAGGGGGCGTGCTTTCGCCCCTTCTCTGGACTCTGGCGGTTGATACACTACAGTATAAAATGGCCGACCTCAACATTGACACTCAAGGGTACGCTGACGACCTTGTTGTCATAGTAAGGGGCTTCTGCCAAAGTACAATATCTTCCATAATGCAAAGAGCGCTAAACACCATAGGTGGGTGGTGCAAAAGAAACAGTTTATCAGAGTTAACGCTGATAAAACTGTCATTATTCCATTTACCAGGCGTAGACAGTTGAACAAACTAGTCAAACCCTCTCTAAATGGAAAAGAGATCGAGTTTTCCACGGTAGTCAAATATCTGGGCGTCACTATCGACCAGAAACTTACATGGAATACTCACCTTAATAACATCATACAAAAGGCAAAAATTGCCTTAGGCTCCTGTAGCCGCATGATGGGCAACAATTGGGGCTTGAATCCCCGATCTGTCTTATGGCTGTATACCACTATCNATTTATTTTATTTCATTAAGTACCTTAGGCCGCGAAATTATCAGCCGGCCCTCGTAGTTGAGTTCGCGCGACCTGTCATCGGCCTATGATCGCGCCGTGAACGCGCCGGCGATAGCGATCTGCACGCGTGTGGTTGAAGCAAAAATGAGGTAAAGGTTGAACGCCAACATAGAATCAGCTGCTAAAAAGGTGACATTTATTGTGCTGTGTACAAAGTTGACATTCGCATTCGACAACGTGTTCCCAGGTGCCCGACTACTTAGAAGTGATCGAGCAGCCGATGGACTTCAGCACGATCAAGGCCAAGCTGGCGGGCGGCGAGTACGCGCGCGACGGTGACGTCATCGCTGACGTCGCGCTCGTCTTCGCTAACTGCTACACGTACAACCAGGACACGCATCCTGTCGCCAAGTTAGTAATTTTCTGTAACTTTTGTGTCCCTTCCCTGGTTATTATTCGTCTGTGAAAGAAGTTTCTCACAGTTGATTTTTGTAGATTTTTTAATGCAGATTTTGATGTTGGTCACATGCAAAAAGCCTATGAAATACCAGAATCCCCTCGGTAAACTTACCTTCAGACTGGATTTTTCCTTTTTACTACGCATAAATTCATGGGAATGATGTTTTTACATGAGTGGCGACCTAGGATCGGAACTTGTAAAGTAGGAAGGCCTTTCAGGATCCTCTTTCATTCCTCTGATTTCAGAAGAGAAAATCCGTTGCTATGGAAATCCCTAAGGTGAGTATAGACTTGAGCATTTCTATGTAATGTAACGTTCTTGCGAATGGTACAATACAGGTAAATTGTGTATGACGTTTGGTTCGTGACAGGGTGAAACACTAGACATTTCATAGAGCGGTTCGTTGTTCTGTTACAAGTAAATGCTCTAGTATATACTCACTTTAGGGGAGGCCTTTGTCCAGTATTTGACGTCTTTTCTTTTTAAATATCACTTTTCTTTATCAATGTAACTCCCCCCAGAGCCGGCGCGCGCCTAGAGAAGTACATCAACAAGCGGTGCTCCGAGCTGGAGTTACCGGCTTTACCCGAGAGCCTCCAAGAAGATGAAGACGACGTGCCGCTCAAGCGGCGTGCCTCGTCGCCGTCCGCGCCCGCCGCCAAGCGCGCGCGACACAAGTGATGCCCGCCGCGCCTCCACGACTACGTCACGCAGTGGTCGGAGTGAGGCAGACAGAAGTGTGAGGCAGGGACAGAAGTGTTAGGCAGGGACAGAAGTGTGCGTTTATCGCCTGTTGTATATTATATCTCCATCTCCAGTACCATAAGTGTGGCTAACGCTAACTACGTCACGCATTGAGGTAGGGACAGTGAAGTGCGATGTGCATTCTCACGTGTAGTATTATATCTCCAATCTCCAGTACCATAAATGGCCACAGCTTAGTGCGCCGCGCCTCGCTAACTACGTCACGCAGTGGTCGGAGTGAGGCAGACAGTAGTGCTGTGTGCGGTATCGCCTGTAGTATATCTCCAATCTCCAGTACCATAATTAAAAGCGCGCGCGACACAAGTGATGCCCGCCGCGCCTCCACGACTACGTCACGCAGTGGTCGGAGTGAGGCAGACAGAGGTGTGAGGCAGGGATAGAAGGGAGTGAGGCAGGGACAGAAGTGTGCGTTATCGCCTGTAGTATATCTCCATCTCTAGTATCATAAGTGTGGCCACGCCTCGCTAACTACGTCACGCATTGAGGTAGGGACAGTGAAGTGCGATGTGCATTCTCACGTGTAGTATTATATCTCCAATCTCCAGTACCATAAATGGCCACAGCTTAGTGCGCCGCGCCTCGCTAACTACGTCACGCAGTGGTCGGAGTGAGGCAGACAGTAGTGCTGTGTGCGGTATCGCCTGTAGTATATCTCCATCTCTAGTATCATAAGTGTGGCCACGCCTCGCTAACTACGTCACGCAGTGGTCGGAGTGAGGCAGGGACAGAAGTGTGCGTTATCGCCTGTAGTATATCTCCAATCTCCAGTACCGTAAGTGTGGCCGCGCCTCGCTAACTACGTCACGCATTGAGGCAGGGACAGATGTGTGCGTTTATCGTCTGCAGTATATATCTCAATCTCCAGTACCATACCATACACATACCAAGTGTGGCCGCAGATTGGTGCGCTGCGCCTCGCTAACTACGTCACGCAGTGGTCGGAGTGAGGCAGACAGTAGTGCTGTGTGCGGTATCGCCTGTAGTATATCTCCATCTCTAGTATCATAAGTGTGGCCGCGCCTCCACGACTACGTCACGCAGTGGTCGGAGTGAGGCAGGGACAGAAGTGTGAGGCAGGGACAGAAGTGTGCGTTATCGCCTGTAGTATATCTCCAACTCTAGTATCATAAGTGTGGCCACGATTCGCTAACTACGTCACGCAGTGGTCGGAGTGAGGCAGACAGTAGTGCTGTGTGCGGTATCGCCTGTAGTATATCTCCAATCTCCAGTACCATAATTAAAAGCGCGCGAGACACAAGTGATGCCCGCCGCGCCTCCACGACTACGTCACGCAGTGGTCGGAGTGAGGCAGGGACAGAGGTGCTGTGTGCGTCATAGTCGCCTATAGTATATATTATTATCTCAATCTCCAGTACGGCTAGCACGAAAAACTTTCGAGTTCGAATCGTTTGCGTATTCTAATAATCACCATCAAAAGATTTAGTACGAAAACTACAACAGCTTACAACGCTCTTGTGAACGTGTCGTAAAGTGAACTTAGTATGAGAAATGGTTGCACGAAACTTATTGTGAGAATCAAAATTGTCACGTTATCGTTTAATTCGAAGGTTAAGTATTGAATTTTGTCGAATACGCAAACGATTCGAAGACGAAAGTTGTTCATGCTAGAGGTACAGTACCATAAGTGTGGCCGCGCCTCGCTAACTGCGTCACGCAGTGGTCGCCGATGTGAGACAGGGACAGTGATGAGTAATGCAGTGTGCGTCAGAGTCCAATCTCAGTACCACAAGTGGCCATAGATTGGTGCTTTGAAGTATCAAGTAAGCCACAGATCGATATCCAAAGCTCGCCGGTATGACGCAGGGACAGTGATGCAATACCATAAGTGTGGCCACTGATCGATATATTCAGTGCTTCATGATGATTTTGCATGCTGGTATGATAGTGACGTTATTACTGAACTGCACTCTAGTTATATCTGTCTTGCCTAGCTCACACAGTTGGTACGAAGAACCGGTAAGTTCACACAATCAAGTGACGTAGTTTCGATAGATGGCCCAGATCATTAGCGATTTATAAACAGCAACTGGTTTCAGTTAAATAAGAACTGAGAATGGATAAATACATTATTTGTGTGAATGTGCTGTCTATGTGATATACAATTACCATTTAGTGGTTTTCTCTTGTGATACAAAATCATGGTAAGTTAGTATCAAAGGTACAAAGACATTTCAGTATCGCATTCTCTGACTGTGGTACTCCCAAAGGTAACTGATGCTGCTACATCATATTATTCCACTGTATCAATGTTCTAGTGTGTATTACTGTTGTTTAAGTGTGTTCAGATGAGTCGCTTTACTCAAGTGGTTTGAAAATCATTTTCAAACAAAAAAAAATTTGTACCTGTTGAGCTTAGTGGTATTACAGTGATAATAGAGCTGAAAAATGTATCGGTTTTATTTCACAGTGAAATAGTTGGTCGGTTACAGTTGATTGTAAACTGCTAAATATTTATATTTGTTATCTGCAAATCAAGTGAATTCTGCTGGACAGATTCATTACCCAACCTCAATAAATTCACGTGTAAATGTTTTTAAATTACCTATTGACATGATTATTGTAAAATTGTTTGATTACATTGCTTTTTATAAGTACTCATTTAAAATTTGATGTTTAAATTCTTATCTAATAGGACTTATTGATATTGGGCATGTTGATTACTCTAGAATTGTTATGATAACTCAAATTATGTCAATCAGAATATTAAATTGATGCTATAAGCTGGAATACTAAGCATTTATATGCATGTAATCACACATGCACTTGCTTGAGAGCATGTTTTGGTGGGCAAAGTAGCATGTGTTTTAAACTGAAAAAGAACATGCATATCATGATAAATAAATGTTGTAAGCAGGTATTTTGTCCTGAGGAATTATTTGTCTAGTGAAATACATAGACGAAACATACGGCTTGCCTAATGCTTTTGAGCAAGTGTATTTGAATACATTTTAACAAACCTATAGACTTAAATATGTACAAGAAATTGTTACTTCAAAATGAGTGCTTGGGCTTGTAAAGTGAAACTTTGTAGCATTATAAATATATAGTCTATGTTACATAATAACAGAATATTGTAAATATCAATATTATTTTTTCAAGGTTAGAGGGACATGACTAAATATAATATAATAAACCAATCAGAACATAATGCAAATAGTGATATTTTTACAAGTATATGTAATTTATTTTTAGTGATCACACATTTAAACTTTTGCTTGTAGATCTCTGTTATAATAATCTCTAAAATTAACCATAAACCCGCCCTCTCTTAATATAATGCTTGGAGTTCCTCTTCCTTGATTTAAAATATACTTGAGCTTCTATGCACTCTGCTATTTCTGATAGGCTATCGCATAATACTGTCATAATAATTGGCTTGAGTTCATTTTTAAACAACTATTTATTGCAGATACACTCGAAATTTTACTAGAATTGTGTTACATCACAATAATATGTCTCAAATACATTGGTTAATTTGCTAAGTATTTATAGATTTTGAAATTATGTGGTGTACATTGGTTAGTTTTTAATCTTAGTTTGCTCAAAATTCCATACATGTCTCTAATTTCTGTAATATTAATAGCAGTTTAATTAATCAAGTTGATCTATCCCCTAACTAATTTTTCTGTTTGTATGATGCAAGATACTGAACCAAAAGATTATTTGCATTTAGTTGGTAAACCGGAATTAATTTTGAGCCTGTAAATTTTAATGCTATTTGTTAGGTTTTATTTTTAAACAAAGGCTTGTCTGCCTACAATTAGTACCTATTTCGAAGCTAGATTAGCCTCTACGATTTATTTGTAAGATTAGTTTAGTGACACAAGTTTTAACAATTATTTTGATTTATTCAAATTGAACATAGATTGTTTTCGATAAATTTTTTGTTGTAGTGGGTTATGTTTTGTTTTACTAAATTTTATATTCGTTTTTCAGGCAATGAAACTTGGCATTTTTTTAATACGGCAAAACTGATTGAACGCATTTTAGTTTTTATCAATGTATGTTTCTTAAAACCAATTTATTTGATACAGTTTTAAAGTACTAGTGCATTCCTCAAAGCATAAACCAAGAAATGTAATGCGAGCTGCTGATGATACATGATCATTTTGCCTGGTATTATTTATTGATGTAATTTATAAGTTTTTTAATTTATATTGTAGTGAATAAAGCACCCTTACAATATTAAATTGTTTCATTTAACATTAGATACTGTGAACAGTTTGGGTCATTTGTGTGGTGATGGTCTGTAATGGCAGAGCATGGAGAAATAGTGCTAACAAAATTTCTAGTGTGTGTGTGTATGTAATTATTTGATTCATATAAGAACTAACCCTTTTAGGGCTGGGTACACCCATGCTCATAGAAGTGGTTGTTTGAAAAAAGAAGCAATTTAAACTAAAGACATGATTTTATTACTTCGCTTATAACATAATGTTCGTACATTTATATTAAACATCCCAGGCACCCTACAGATTTGATTAGTGGTGTCCTTCTGCCTCCTTCCTGCGGATCTCGGCCCATTTGCTGACATTGCCAGGTGAGTTAGCTGGAAAAATCATAAATTAATGTTATTAATTTAAAAAGTAAAAAATTCACAAAAAAACGTGGCAGGTGTTTGTGAAAATATAGATATTATTTTTTGAATTTGAATCTGAGTGAACTATATCTAAATGAATAGGTAACTCAATGATAAGTACTGATATGTGTATGAAAGTGGCTTTGCAGAATTCCTATGAGTCCCAGGACCATATCCACTTAGATCTTTTTGTTCAAATGTAGCATTATCTTTTATATAATAATATGGTCAGAGGGTAGGGTTAAAAAGCAAAACAATTACCCAGTTTGTGTATTTTGTAGAATACTGGAATAGAGACGGCGATTCCGACCATCCAGTAGCGCCAGATCCACTGGTTTTGGAGATAGAACTTCATTGGGAACTGCGCGATTTTCGCGGAGATGGTGTAGGGGAACTTCATGGGGCGGGCTGGAGCGTCCGACATCGTGGCGGTTAGTTACCTGCAAATAAAACATTGAAAAAATATCATTATGTAATAAATAGACGCCCTATGACATTGGTTTATCGTAGAAAAAATAAGAGAATTTTAGAGACCACATTTGAGTGTAACAGGAAAAGAACATTAGTGGATTTGATTTTACTCATTTACCAAATAAATATTAATAAGCTAATAATAATTATTTAAAAAATTAACTAAAATCTAACCTCAAAATAAGTACGGAGACAAACTGACACTTTTGACAAGTTTTTTTTTCAGCCTGGGAGCACAGATACAGTCTACTAAAACGATTGAATGTTTCATATTAATCAATTGGGTTTTGACATCGTGCATCGCGAAATAAAAAAAAATTGAGAAGGTCTTCGTTGTCGCTTTTTGGGTCACGCAACGAGATTTGATTGAGGTCATTACGCAAGCAATTTAAGCAATGATGTTTTCTTTGCTTGGGTTATGAGTATGACTATGAGGCTCAAATCGCGATGAGCGTATGAATACGTCAAATCGATTCTATATTTTAGTAATAAAATGTAAATCAATTTTCAATTGAAATTTCAATTAGATTCAAAGTTGCAGTTTAGTATTGCTTTTTTATAATAACATTTATATGATAGCAAATTAAATTATATTAATGACTTTCTAGTTTTTCAGTGAAATTTATTTAAGTCATTGATTAAATAAACTAATTGACAGTATAAATATTATTAAACGTTTGCGTGCTGCAGCAACATTGTTGCAATCTGTCACAAAAGTGTCAAGCAAATTAAAATGTCAACTTGCTTTGTGGTGTCGTATTTGTGTGTTTAGATGTAATTTTTAATAAAAAATAATTATACTGACAATATAATGTTCGACAATGGCTTCGGTAAAAGTGGCTGTAAGGGTTCGCCCATTCAATCAAAGGTTTGTTGTTAAAACACTGTGTTAATCTTGAAAAAGTTATATTTTGTTCTATCGTTCTTGCGATCGTATTATTTGGCTTATTCACGCCCCTTTATCTAGATGATTGTTTGTACTTATTTGTCGTCAATGGGAAACATTTAATTCTGTGTAGTTTTAGCTATTTAAATGTATATTTGTTGTACATTGTTAGTTCTAGATGGGAATTTTGAAAGTGCAAAAAAACAGTGATGTCATGTTGAATGGCAATGACTTTCACGGTTCAGTTGCATTTAGAGCACAAACTGTACCTCGGACGGGTGATTTGGATGAAAGTTGTCGAAAAAATGTAAAAAAGAGCATGACCTACATAAACACAGAAAGATCCACATCTCTGCAGAGGAAATTGTATGAAATTGAAAGAATGTTTGTTTGTTTACCAACATGTCAGGAATGGAAAACATTATTGGCCTCAATATGTTTGGTTTCAAAGTCAAAGTCGCTGTCTTTACCATAATTGTATGAAAGTTTATTGTCAGAGGTCGGCAGCACAGCAGACTCACAACAAACAATTGAATACACATTCACATCATCAATAACAACTCTTTGTATTGTTGAGCTTTTTTGGCGTCAGCAAAACAAAGTTTCAACAATTTATAAGTAAACAGCAATTTGTGAAATTGGATATTATGTTTTAGTTTCCTTTAGTCTAATTTAAATAGGCAACCATACCATTAATAAGACAGTGGGAGATAGTTTTCACCATATTTTTAACACCTTGCCTTATCCAAAAACACAAGTTAACCGAGGTCCAAATTATATGTAGAATATTGAAAACCAAATCATTTTTTTTTCTTTATTGTTCTGGAATCTAAGAAAAATAAAGAAAATTATTTCTATAGGCTTGATTACAAAAATGAGATATGAATAAATACTAACCACAAGTGCTATTTCAGGGAAAAGGACATGGGTGCCAAACTCATTGTCCAGATGGATGCCAAGAAGACAAGGCTTCTTACAGTAAAAGTAAGTAAACTTCTATAATTATAATAAAACTATCTTTCCGCCCGCGGCTTCGCCCGCATGGAATTTTGTCTGTCACAGAAAAACTTTATCGCGCGCGTCCCTGTTTCAAAAACCGGGATAAAAACTATCCTATGTTCTTTCCCGGGACTCAAACTATCTCTATGCCAAATTTCATCAAAATCGGTTGCGAGGTTTAAGCGGGAAAGCGTAACAGACAGACAGACAGACAGAGTTACTTTCGCATTTATAATATTAAGTTGGGATTAGTTGGTGCTAATGATAAACATAGATTACATTTTATTGTACTCATATTAACACAAATTCAGTAAATATTAAGAATATCACATCCCAACTATCCCAACTAATATTATAAATGCGAAAGTAACTCTGTCTGTCTGTCTGTCTGTCTGTTACGCTTTCCCGCTTAAACCTCGCAACCGATTTTGATGAAATTTGGAATAGAGATAGTTTGAGTCCCGGGAAAGAACATAGGATAGTTTTTATCCCGGTTTTTGAAACAGGGACGCGCGCGATAAAGTTTTTCTGTGACAGACAAAATTCCACGCGGGCGAAGCCGCGGGCGGAAAGCTAGTATTATAATAAAATAACGGTTCCTTCTGAATCTGATGCAGTTGAGTAAGAAAAAAGTGTAGAAAGATTTTATTGGTCATGGTGAAATTGTTACTTATGTGCAACCTTCACTCAAATAGAGATAAAGCCTTTTTAAGTCTATACAGTAGTTGTTTATCAGTCAATACCTCATTTACGTTTTGTTTTAGCCAAATTATGTCCAGTGCTGGACTAAGTCTCTTCCAAAGATTTCCATTACACATAATGCCCTAATAATCCATTGATTTATTGTTTATTGTTATCATTGTTACAGAATAGCAAAGAGCAAAATGACGGCGGGCGGGAGAAGTTCAAGGACTTCACGTTCGATCACTCGTACTGGTCGTACGACGCCGACGACAAACACTATGCGTCACAAGAGCAGGTACAGTCGCTAACACTAACATGTATGTAATTTATCCCAAAGTAATAATGCCTTGTTGCAAAAAGTTAAACGCGCGACGCAACACTGGTTTTCAACTAAATGACAATTTAAAGTAGTCACTAATGCTAGTTTTACTTTATGTAAAAAGGAGAACACCTTTATCTGGAGGGTGCAGAATTGATTCTACCTAGTGAGAAAAAAACAGGTTCAAACCAAAGAAAAATCAATCTCTTACTTTGCCTTCCAACTTTTCTTTTTCCTGCTTATGATGGGTCAATGACATTATGAGGAAAGAACTGAATTAATATTGTAATATAAAAAAAGATGAAAGAGGTTTTTATCTTTGGACCACTAATGCGAGAAGAAAACTATAAGGTTTAAATTCCAATGAAATTTTTTATATTTTTTTGCACGTGATTATGCGATAAAGATCTGCTGATAAGATATACACGGCAACAATAACACAGACAAGATGCTTGGCGAAAATAGGTTTTTTAAACTGAATGCAGTATAGAACAAACAAATATGCCCAATCAAAAAGAAACCCAGATGCTGCATTCTATAAAAAAGTTTGCTAAGCATTTGTTAGCATATAGCTACAGAGTGTCTGGACTGTGTTGGCTTTTTTGTTTTGAAATGTTGGCAACAACTGTTTTCAGAACTTTCCGGCAAAATTTTCTAATTTTCGTAAGCTGAATGAATAATTTCATGTCAGTTTAAGGCTGAGTTTTAACCAGAGATATGCGAGGATGCGTAGCGAGGGATGTGTTTGTAAAGAACCAATAGAATCGCTTCATAATTATACCTAGGCGAGGTCTCTGGTGGAAACGCAGCCTTATATAAAAAAAAAACGTTATCTTAAAACATTTCCAAATACAAGTAGCTTGAAAAGTCCCTTCAAACACTAATGATCAATTGTACGCATCAACTTTGCAGACATTAAAGTTAAATTAGAAAGCGAGTTAATGGCGGTTGCTCAACGCAATCGCGTAATCGTTTAATAGCCAAATGTGTTTCAATACGGCATGACGGCGGATTGTTCAGGTGTCTGAAGCGATGGAAACCGCAGTGCCGCCCAAGGCCGGTGTCGCCGCGGGCTGAGTATAGTGCAGCAGGGGTCGGTAGGGTCGAGTACTTGTCAATTATTACATCGATCACCTAGCACTGAAGGTCTATTCCACTTTGATCACCTAGGTCAGCGGTTCCCAAACTTGTTTTGTCTACTGCCCACTTTGAGAATAAATTCTTTTTAGCGCCCCCATTTGTAGTCGAGAGTCGAGTGCTCAGTCGGTGTCTAAGAGACCTCCCAGTAAATGACGCCTCCCAAGCCTCTACACAACGTCCTGATTTTTTTTCTGGGTCTCTTACCGGCCCCCTTTAAGCCTGTAGCGCTCACAAGGGGGCGTTATCGCCCCCTTTGGGAAAGACTGACCTAGGTGATCTTATCCATAGGTGATCAAAGGACACCAAAGTTTCGCCTGGAGTTCACTTTGATCACCTGGGTGATCATGATCATGAATAGACCTCACTGAGATAAGTGAAGCTACTATAAAACGGATAAAATACTTCTTATTCTATCGTGTAGGTAGATGGTAACATAATTGCCTTTGTGTCAGCCGTTATGAGACGAAATCCGTTATGTGGCGCGTCCGACTACTTTAAAGTACGCTTTTAAGATCTTAAAGGTGACAGAGTTTCTTTCGCCATTTCTTTTCTGCACCAGCCCATAATGTTGTTCCGAAGTGGTGATAGGGCAAGCTATAGTTAGTTAGTTATAGGTGCCCTGAAAAGGGCCTATGTATTTTAATTGGTGTATGACTTCTATATCTCTATGCACTGGACCTACGTAAACTATAAACGTCCATGTCTAATAATGAATGCTCATACTCTCTCTTCAGGGTTCAAACCAGAAACTGACTCCAAAGGTCATCAGTTTTACGAAAGATATAACCAGCCCACTCTTTCAGCTTGCTAATCCTTCGAGCGAGCTATGTCGTCTTTTGGTCTTGCGCGGCAATGTTCGGCTGTCCATGATAATGTTTTTTTTTGTGTTCCATGATTTAACAAAGCGAGTCTACTCTACCCATTTGCATTGTTAACATAGCTATACTATGCTTTTATGCGGCGTTACGTCATGTACAATGAACCGCTCACAATCCGCCAAAGCCTGCTTAATCGGCCCATCCATGCGTTTAGTCGTTGACTTCAATGAAAATAATGTAGGATTTGTGAAGGTCACTGAACAGATGGTCTAGACTCTAGCTAGCTCATACGTCTGCTATATTTCACATAGCTTACAATGCTTATTTTATTCCAAGGATTTCATCTCTTCAACCCGTCTGGCCATAGTGCGGAGTGTTAGGCTAAGCATAATTATGGTATATTAGAAAGGGTCGTGCGGAAACTAGGTAGTCTGCAAAGGCTTGCCTGTCTCATGGCAACTGGGGCAATGTCAACCGCACCTGGGGCGGCCCTGAACGCACTACTGNATTTAGTTTGTCACTGATCGTCATAAATTATAGCCTATATATTATTCAGGGTTATAAACAATAATACTGTAAAGTTACATCAAAATCCGTTCAGTTGTGATCGCGTGAAAGAGCAACAAACATCCAGACATCCAAACTTTCGCATTTATAATATTAGTTGGATAATAGTGTCAACCACTCAACTAAATACTACTTCCTTCTCTTGTATTTGTTTGCAAACTATTACTATAATAACGTACTAAATATAAATAAGTATACGTGGATATCTGTTATTGTCTTTCTTGCATAGTATTAAGAGTTACATTTTTCTATCATAACGAAATAAACTCAACACATGACAAGACAACCCTAGCGCGACGGCCGAGCGTGCGAGCGAGAGAGGTATGCAAAGCGAGGTACATACATGAGTTTACCTTCTGTTATATTTTGTGCTTTAGCTCTTATGTTAGAGAAGTCATTTGGCTGAAACGAAATACATAAGGTGCTAATTAGATACTTGTCAATTAGTAGTAAGAATCTTCTTATGTTTCAACCACACCAACGCGTATAAATTACCATCGCCGGCGCGATCATAGGCCAATGACGCGTGGACTGTCATGGGTCGCGCGACCTGTCATTGGACTATGATCGCGCCGGCGATGGCGATCTGCACACGTTGGTGTGGTTGAAGCTTTAGTCTCTCTCAGTATGCCATCAACTGAAGGCCCATTCTGGCCGCAAGCCAGCTTCCCAACCTCATATTAGCGGTGCTTATTAACGGCGTTCACACGTTTCGTAATTGTGCCACTTTTATATTTATAAGCTCTAAAAGCTTTCAGCTGCGGTATGACCTGAAAGCACAGATTTTATAGTTGCGTGCTGATGCATGTTTTTAATGTGTTGTTATAATATTTTGAATAAGAAAGACGGAATTTTCTTATTCAAAATATTTTCATAAGTTGCACTCGTTTAGACAACGCTGCTGGCGTAAAGCTAACTTTTAGAAGTTTGCTAATGTACCAGTAGCTTTTCTTATAATGTACATTTGCGTGCAAAATCCTGTAACATTATTATGTTCTGCTCATTCAGATTTATTCACATAATGCCGGTAGTTTACATTATCATTGAGGTAGGATTCTCTGTACTGCGACACACCTATATCACTTGTTTTCAGTTAGACACTGTACATCCGTTTCTGCTACAAAACAATTCACTTTAACTGTTTTTATGAGGCAGTGATAGATGTCGGTACAGTACAGACGACCAACGACCACACATCGGACTATATTTTTTTTTTTTGCAAATGTTCCCCTATTGTGTACTGTATATTACATAATATGAGGCTATATATTCAGTCTAGGCTTAGACTACAGACTTTAAGTCGGCCGATTAGTTGGGCCTGATTCTAATTTGTGTGAAGAATGAGCCGATCTAATGTGCGCACTTACATGTTTCATCTCCATACTTATTAACAGCCCGACTCCACTATCAGCCAACCAAAAATCGGTGGTCTGCGCTTAGGCTTAGTTTGATAATTATGTTGTCACCTGTTACAGGTGACTGTCTGCTACATACCTACTCGTATTGTCATATTGAAAACGTCGAAGACAGATGTTGACTTTGACAAATTAGTCCCCTGTATCTAATAGTGAAATGTATGCTTACACGATACTATGAAAATTCAAAAACATTTTATTTCGTGAAAGCCAGTAAAAGCTTTACAAAAGCCAAAGAAACAAAGGGCCAGTTTAGGCATGTAAAGCAATAACAGTTTGTATCATCACAAGCGCTGTATTTATACGAGAGATATAACGGTTTTAGGGTTCCACTAGAGTTATTTATGGGTGTTTTTAGTGTTCCTCTGCAAATTGTTAGCAGTAAGAGTAAAAAATTGAGCTTTCTAATAGATTTTTATACAAGTGGGCTGTATTTTGTTGTTCAAATTTATCTTCAAACCATAAAGTAACAGATTGGCTATCGATTTAAATGTTTTCTTTCTAAAAGAGATAATAAAAGGAAAGTATAATAATAAAAAATAATGTATTTTGAACAGCTATAGGATCTAACTCTGGACAATGTGTCTAGAGATCCTTTACAGTCCCAGCACTTGAAACTTCATGGTAGTTGCAATTTATTGCAACGACGAAGTTTTAGTTAGTTGTATATTCACATAAGATGCCACAGTGTTTACCGTTAATGGTGGTCCGTACATACGTGCATTAGATGTACGGGTACAAGCTCCGATCTTTGTTTCACCCTTGACCGTATTTCTTACATTCATGAATCACAGATTCGCTATACCAGTAATAATTCTTTTAACTAAACTACAGCTTGGCGCCCCGCCAGATAGTGAGTTACACGACACTCATGTTTTTACAATATAAAAGGATGTGCGCGACCATTTGTATGCGTTGAAAACAATTTAATCTCTGACATTCATTTGTTTCTTTTGTGCAGCTAAAAGTGGACAAATGAAGTGTGCAATTTAGCTTGTGGATGTTTGGTATACAAGTTGGACAGAACTGGAATTGCTTTCGGTAAGCGCACGGTTTTCCAGATGGGAGAGTTGAAAAACAAATGATGGCGCTGAATGTTCCTGTTATTGTCTAGTTGCTAGAGAGTAAATATTTTCGTGGAAACGAGATTACTTGGAAAGGTATTACCTAAGCCTTCGTATTGTAGATTGACATCAAATCCCAACTGGAGAAATGTTTGAAGGATTAAGCTTTGGAAAAGTTTCACGTAATCTTGATATACTGAAAAGGAGAAATAATCGAAAGTAACACTTTTACAAGGGTCATAGAATTAATCTTGAATGATTTCGGACTTAAATTAGTTTTCAAGCAGATTAGGAACATTCAAAGATTAAGGCCAATACAGTCTTAGAACTAGTTTAAGTCTCGATTAAGATTGAATCAGAGTTCGTTTCTAAGTACTAAATAAATGTAGGACAAGGGACAAAAGCTCGGAAAAAGCGTAAATCCTATAAGCCTTGAAGACATTGATTGACGAAGACTATTAGTGACAATTTAAAGAGATACTTTTCCCAGAATGTCTTATTCCAATATAAGACAATGTTCTTTTATCAACAGCAACTGATATACCTAGACTAAGAGTAAACAAAAAACATGTTGTGTTTGACCGGAACTACTCCCACCTCTCATTCCCACCGCTGCAACTCCTGTGTAGCCAGTATCTAAAGCTTGACCGCCAATAAAAATACAACCAATGAAGGTCAACATTGTCCCGGGGAAAGTTAAACTGTCATTGGAACCGCAATGAAATGAAGCAGAAGAACATAGGAGGACTTTGAAGTTATATTCTCCGCGAGTTTACATCGAGAACAAAACACGCACGATGGCCCACCTACAGGATACTATTCGACAAGGCCTCACATACGAGCGAACAATTACTCACGCACGCGTATTCTTGTGTATGATGGAAGAAAATAAAGAAAATGTTGTGCTAAATACTGTGCAGTATTTAACTGCCTAAATAATAATAAAAACACATTATTTACTTTTTTAAGTTGCCTCAAGACACTGAAAGGTAAATAAGTAGTTAATATTATTCATGATAATTCATGCTAAATCATGTATTTCCTCCGCCATTTTCCGCAATTTGGCACCTCAC